GCAAAAAGACGTTCGCAGGTAGCTGTGGTTTTAGAAATTTATTTGGCAGTTCGCCACCCTTCTATAACTTTTTCCTTTCTCTTTCATTATGTGCTTWYGCTACTGTCAAAACAAAAACAMAAACAGTACGTTTTTGAAGATYGGTGGGGACCGTGGGGGTTCCATCTGTTTAAATTGTTACTCTAGTACATAAAAGATGAGCATGGCTCCTGCGCAATCATAATATTGTCCAGATTGAAAAGAAAAAAAAATAGTAATAAAGAAACAACGGCGGACGCGGCAGGTTTTGAGTTCGAATAGGCAAAAAAAAACACGAGATGGCAGTGCAGGAAGGGGCACAGTTCGAAAAGGGCAAAGAAACAGGAGAAGAGGGAATGTCAGGCTCCCAGTTCGTAAAAGCGGTAATGACAGGGCCGCGCTYCCGGGCYGTCCCRTGCTGTTTTAGGCCGGTCCCAGGCCCTCCTGTCCCGTCCTAGGTCCATATGTGGCCGTTTACAGCGCCCCTCGTGCTCCCCCATCTCCGTCCCCTGTTCCTATCTACCTCCCGCGTCGTAGGCTGTCCCATCCAGCGCTGCCATGTGCTCTCTCTCTCTCTCTCTCTCTCTCTCTCTCTCTCTCTGTGACGGGTGGCAGCATGTGGGCCCTTGCTGCAACGCGCCACCTGTGTGTGTGTGTGTGTGTGTGTGTGTGTGTGTGTGTGTGTGTGTGTGTGTGTGAGAGAGAGAGAGAGAGAGAGAGAGAGAAAGAGAGAGAGAGAGAGCTTTTTCAAATGGATACTGCCATTTTTTCTGCGCTGGATTCAGCCAAGAAATATGGCGGAATTCATTCAGAAAGGGCCTCTGCGTTCTTTTTCGAATGAATATTGCCATATTTCTGCACAGGATTCGGCACCCGACTATGGCCCAATTGCCATATTTCTGCACTGGATTCAGCGCCGAACTATGGCCCAATTCATTCAGAAAAGGCCTCTCTCTCTCTCTCTCTCTCTGTGCATGTCTGTGTGTGTGAAGCACACTCTCATCCGTTACTGCTCGCAGGCTGGCTGTCGTGCAGCCATGTGCTCTCTCTCTCTCTCTCTCTCTCTCTCT